GTGAACTAACAAAATTGTAGTCGTTTTAGACCATTGGAGAGATCTATGAGAGAACAAGAGGTTAATAGGCAGGGAATAGGTCAACTTACACCAACTGCTTACTCCCTGAGAGCAGCTTGGTTTGGCAGCCACGTGTCCTACAACCTGCCTCCTTATTTCTGCAACCTGCCTCCTCGGAAGATGTCAACTTCGACATTTGACTCCTGCAACAGAGGTGGACAAATGTTAGCAAGTGAGATGGTGTCGCAGTTTGTTGTGTCCGCCAATAACACCTTTCACAACATGCAATTCAGGAGAAAATGTGACATCACAAACGACATCAGGGTAAATGGTGTGCAATGATGTTGGTGGCGGTGTGGTTGACGTCAATTGGGCAGCACGTACTTTAAACCACAAGTTCACGTTTAATGTCAAGACCTCAGAGTACACTAGGCTGGCAAATACATTTTAGACTACGCTAGGCAAGTCACACCAGCGCGAAATAAGTGAAACTCGAAATTCCTCTTTGGAAACCAGACTGGTATGCATAAGAAGTGAGTCTGAAGCAAGTTATATACCGCTAGATTTGCAAAAAGACTCCGGAACAGAACCCGCCGGAGAACAACACATTGTCGACAACCAGAAATATATTTACCTTTCATTCATGCCGGTTGAGCGTAAATTTCAGAGGTGCAGACATCGATGCTCTGCTAGTTGTTCCTCGGTTTATCACGAGAGAGCGCTTCGTGTCCGAATTTCAGGCCCTTTCATCGGAGGACGATTCTGTGGAGGATCTACACGCCGTCCCACACGCCTATGTTCCCCTACTCAAACTGAAGTGCATGAGTTTTGAGGTAAGGCAGATTGATTAATTAGCTGAATCACTTTTTGGTTGATGTTTAGGTTGATTTGCTGCTTGCACAAATCGACTCCATGCCAATAAACCACTTCTTCACAAAGGCTTCATCCGTGCCGTCCTCTGGACGTTTGCCATACGCGCGACAATTCACATGCGCAATCTTCACGCAGTGATTGTTCTCTGCGTTCCTTAC